TCCATTCAAATCCTCTGGCACAACTAGCTCAAAATAGTAGTAAGCACGGAAACATGATAGCCGCAGCTGTTTCATTCAGATTCCCTGGTTGCAACTAGCTCCACGACAGAGACAGACTCAAAAGAAAGCAAAAGGGTAATTACAAAACAAAAGGGTGTTCAAGGAAACAACCCGAAATCACCTGACATTCTATACAATGGGACTGACTCGACACGACAAGACTGACCCTTAAACAAAAAGACTGACTCAAAACAAAGAGACAGACTCAAAACAAGGCCACCGAACTGACACAACACCTAAGTTAGAAACCACAAAAATTGGCATTCATAGGTGCGTGAAGAAAGCCGCTCGGCGTCGATTGCACCCTTCCCAGAAGTTTTGCAGGCGCTGCACCCGCTCGAGCGTCAAACTCCCCGCTCGAGCGGAGGAGCAAAAACAAGGGATCACGCTCGAGCGTAAAAACTACCGCTCGAGCGGAAGAACTGCAGAGCAAAATACTGGGAGATGGAAAATCACGCTCGAGCGTCAAAATTTCCCGCTCGAGCGGAGAAGCAACAACGAAGGGACCGCTCGAGCGTTAAAACTTCCGCTCGAGCGTGAAGGCCAAAATCTGGGCATCACCTATTGGCATCCAAAATCAACCAACCTGTAACAGACCCGCCCAACGCAACCTATACTTCAAATACAAAGAGATTAAAGGACAACAACAACCAATAAGTAATGACAGGATCCACAGAACGTAAGTCCGGATACAATAATTTAAAGAGAAAAGACCGGGGTCGCTATATAGGCTTTAGCTACTAAATTTTTTTAGTCGAGATATATTACTTATGGGCGATTAAAAAAAAAATTAGTAGCTGGATATGCCACCTTTTGGTGACTAAAAAAATATTAGTCGGTGTAAGTCGAGATTTTAGGCTACTAAATAAGGTTTTAGTCGACGTATATTAATTATTGCCTACAAAAAAAGTTTAGTCGCCAAATAAACAACCATATTTTTACGTTACTCTTTGACTACCAAAAAATTAGTCAGCAAATGTCCACTTTTGGTGACAAAAACATATTTAGTCATGGTTTACTCAATTTTTTCCGACAAAGAAAAAAAAATAAAAAGTAAAAAATTGGTCTCTAGAATATAATTTTTGGCGACTAATATTTTAGTAATTAAAAATGAAGAGTTGGCTACAAAATATGTAGTCATTATATATTAGTTTTTGGCCACAAGTAGCTAGTTTAATCGCTAAAGGTATAATTCATTTTAGAGGAAAATGAATTTATTAATATTGGCGTCTTGTTCTATGTTTAGACATCCGATTCTTCTCTTTCTCACACACAGATTCTCCCTGAGCACCAAACCACACCCCACCTCACCTCAGTGCAGACCACCATCTCTCGCCACTGCCGCAAATCACCATCGGCACTCTGCATCCTCATAGGTTCTCTGTGTGTGTGTGTGTGTGTCCCCCTTTCTCTATTTCCCCCTTTCTGAATCTTGCTCTTGGGTTTTCATGATTTCTTTAGTTTAATTTCATGTTGATTTCGAAAAATGGGTTCGGTTGAAGTGGTTTGATTTCTAAAGTTTTATGGGTTTGATGTCCTAAATGGGTTTGATTTTAGTGGTTTGATACATTTTCCCCTTTTCTTCCTGTCTCTCTCATTAGTTTCAAAGCCCTAACCCATTGTAGGGATTTTAGATTTTATATGTTTTTTAGATGCTCATGGTTTCATGGTTCAACATTTCCTCCACTGAAAACTTTGAAGCTAGCTTGATTATCAGGAAAAGAAATATTTTATTTATAGGCTAGGGGTTTGAATCGAATTTCTTCGCAGAACCATTAACTGGGAATGTGTTTGCATGTATATTGAATGCTTTTAGCTTAGGGATTTTTGAGTCTCTACAATTTGTATGATTTTTTTATCACTTTATTGGTTTCTTCTTTGGTTTTGCTATGCCTTTTTTTTTTTGGGTTCAATTTTTATTTTTTTATTGTTTGTTTGTTTTGTCTGTTATGTGAGATATGTCAAAAGTCTAGTATTTCTGCTTGTTTATTGATTGGAGTTAGTAGAGGACATTCTCTTGGACTTTTGAGGCCTAAATAGTGTTCTACCTCAAAGATATCTGACCAAATATGTATTTTTCCTTTTCTTGAAAAAATAACTAGAAAACAGGTAAATGGACCTGCGGCTGTTATTTGTGTTGTAGCTTCCTAGATTGCTAATCTTGGTGAAAGTGTGATAGGTGCTTCGCTCCAAGAGAAAAGGATTCCGATGGGTAGGTGACCAACACAAATTATTATTTCAATTCTTTATTTTTTGCCGGGTATCCATCTTTTTTAGTATGATTGAGAAGTGAAGTTAGTTCTTTATGCCATGTGGTATGGTATAACACTGGGAAGATTGTTGTTTAGCAACTTAACTCTCTCCCTCTCTCTCTCTCTCTCTCTCTACTGTTGTTCTATTTGGGATTTTAATTCACCACTGTTGACAGCTATTGTTGGTTTGATTTTGCATCTGAACAATGATGTTGTTAATGTCATCAACATATCTATCAGAAGTATTTTACAAGATCACCCATTTAGTTTTACATCATCTCGCAAGGAAAGGTGCATGGTTTAGGCCCATCTTTGCTTACAGAATCTGTGAATATTGACTGAAAACAGAAAAACAATACATGACTGTGAAACTCTTAACCGTTTTTGGGTACCCAAAATTTTTTAATGCATCAAAGGTTTGATCCATTTGCGTTGTATCTTTGTTCCCATCATAGTTAATTACATCTAAGGAAACATCCAAGGAAAAAAAAAAAAAAAAAAAACATTGGGTCTAATTTTGTGCCTAAATATCAATACTCTTATATTGAATTTTATTCAAAATGTTTTCTTCTCAGTCTATACATAGGGACAAGCAGTGACACTCTTCAAGATGGACAAAATGTATCAACTAGTTTATGATGGGGATGTTGAAGTCCCTAGAACAACCACGAATAGTACCACTGGGTAATAATTCATTTCTTTTTGTTCAAAAGTGTATAGATTTAATTGATAGTTTGAACCATTTGAATTTGAGTTGTTGAATTTTTCCAGACAATGCCTTGATGGTACTCTCTCACCGGAGCTTGTGAAAGGAAAAATTGTTTTGTGTCTAAGAGGGTATTCATATAATGTTCAGAATGGCTTAGAGGTCAAAAGAGTCTAAGGAATTGGGTTCATTCTACAGAACCCTGTGCATGGCATTGGAATATTAGGGTTGGTTTGGGGTGTCTAAAAAAAGTGCACTTTTTGTCTTTTTACGAAAAGATGTGTAGAAAAATAGAGAGGTGATGTGATGGAAAAAAGATAAAAAGATTGATTATATAGTTCATGCCAAACCAACCCTTAGTTGATGCTCATGTACTTCCAGGAGCAATAGTATGTTTTAATGATTCAACCACAATTCTCAACTACATACGAACTTCTAAGAATCCAATGGCAACATTGGTCCCACCAAAAACTATTTTGAACAGTAAACCAGCGCCTTTCATGGCATCCTTCTCTTCAATGGGTCCAAATGGCCTTGAACCCAATAATCTCAAGGTAAGAAGTATATATACTCATTGGTATAAAATTATACGTTTAGATGTCCATAATGAATACCAGAACGTGGCACATGTTGTTTCTAGTTATAAATCACAATAACAATCTAAAAAAATTATTTGGAAAAAAAAAAAAAGTGCACGGATTGTAGTGTTGGCAATACTATATTTAGTGGAGTGTGTACTCCATCCAGGACAATGTGCATCATTCTTTTCAATGGAAGTTTTATATCTTTGTTCATTACTGAGGAGTCCTCAAGTATTGGACATGCAACTGCAATATCATTATATATGAACAACAAGAATAGAAAAGGTTTCAATTTTAGAGTCTCTTTGGCACAATAAAACAATTTATTAGTTGCTTTTATGCCTTCATACTTGTGAATGGTTTCATGAACTTTAGATTAATGGCTATCTTGGCAACCAGACATTACTGCGCCAGGACTGAATATCTTAGCAGCATGGAGTGAGGCATCCTCTCCCACAAAGTTGCCTGATGTTCATCGAGTTGTCAAATATAACATCGACTCTAGAACTTCCATGTCTTGCCCTCATGTGGTTGGTGTAGCGGCACTCATCAAAGCCATACACCTTGATTGAAGCAGTGCTATGATAAGATCTGCCCTCATAACAACTGGTACACTTGCATGTTTTAACTTATTACACGTTCTCCATTTTCTAGCTTTCAAGACATCTTTCATGTCCTAATTTTTATAGTTTTTTCTTCTTCTTTGGCAAAGCCAGGCTAAATAATAACCAAATGACACTTCTCTTTCTCTCTATTAACCAAATGACACTTCTTTTTCTCTCTATGTTCATTATGGACAAAGCAGGCCAAAGGATGCAATATTCTATCTTAGAGTGATGTTCTACTAACCACCTATGGAGTTTCATCTTCAGAATTTTCAACAGAGGTATCCTGAAGGGTTCTTGTTTGAATTGAATAATGAAAGTAATATGATGGATGTATAATGTTGTTGTTTCAATTTTCAGAGCAATTGTATAGTTCTATGTTAAATCTCCCAATCATCACTCAATCTCACTTGGATTTTGAGTAAAAGCTTCATTTGATATGAACTCCAATGGCAAAAACCAATTTTCTTTTCAAAAATTCTCATCTTATCACAAGAATGACAGTTCGCTAAATGATAAACTTCAAATGAAGCAAATATAGCTTTTAAATCGAACATTTGAGTCAAGATTTAAGGGGTGTAATCTAGGTTATAGCATCCAAGTAAATTGAGAACTAAGATACCAAAGGTAAAAAAAGATTAAATAAATGAAAAAAAAAACAAGAAAGCAAGATTACTAATGTAGTTCATAAGGTGCTCTAGGAAAAAATATTATTTTAGTTGTAGTTGTCAAAAAGTATTGGTTCGATACCATATTGAATTAAGTCGGAACAATTAAAGTACAAATGAACTTGCAAGTTACAAATCTATGGATTTTATGATTTTGAGTACCTGTTTGTATCTCGTGGAGAATACTTTGTGGATAACGTTTTGGTGTAATGGATTGAAGCAATACAAATACTAGCATCAAATGTATAACTATATATTGGATGGAATATACAATTTTGAAAGCAATAGAAATACAATAGCCTGAGGTGAACCTTTAATCACATGAATTTGCAAATTAACAAACAACTACTAGTAATGCAACACGTAAAATAGGTAATGAAGAAATCCAAGTCTAAAACGCCTAAAATTTAATCGAAAAAGGGCGTTGAGGGGGTGGAAATGCAAAATAGTCCCAGAACCACTGTGCGGATGTCACGTCCAGCTTCCCCGTAACAAATAGGACCTATGACAATAGAAGGAATGTAATTAGCACACGTAGGTTGGGAGTTAGAGCCGAAAATGCATTAAACTTAACTGAAAAAGGGCGTTAAGGGGGCGAAAATGCGAAAGAGCCCCCAAACCACCGTACGGATGTCACAGACATCTTCCCCATGACAAATAGGACCTATGACAATAGGTAGAATGTAATTAGCACGCGTAGGTTGGGAGTTAGAGCCAAAAATGCATTAAACTTAACCGAAAAAGGGCGTTAAGGGGGTGAAAATGCGAAATAAACCTTGAAACCATCGTATGGATGTCACAATCAGCTTTCTCATGACAAATAGGACCTGTGACAAGAGATGAAATGTAATTAGCACGCGTAGGTTGAGAGTTAGAGCCGAAAACGCATTAAACTTAACGGAAAAGGGCGTTAAGGGTGCGAAAAAGTGAAACAGTCCCAGAACCACCATATAGATGTCACGACCAACTTTCCCATGACATATAGGACCTGCGACAACAGTCGAAATGTCATTAGCACGCGTAAATTGGGAGTTAGAGTCGAAAACACCTAAAATTTAACCAAAAAATGGTGTTAAGGGGTTGAAAATGCAAACAGCCCCAAAACCACCATAGGAGTGTCATGGCCAACTTTCTTGTGGCAAATAGGACTTGTGACAATAGATGAAATGTAATTAGCATGCATAGGTTGGGAGTTACTACCAAAAACGCTATAAACTTATTCGAAAAGGGGAGAGTTTGACATCCAATAAATGTTCAACATTTTGATTGTAAATGATGCCATTGTTTCATCATATGCGGTGGTCATTTGGGTGGTAAATGTATTAAGAAAGCATGATATGGTTATGGAGATAACCCCATAGATTACTCATTTACTTTACTTTGACTAGGAAAATAGGAATGAAGAAGAGTTAAAATAAATTTATAACCAAAACATTCTAGCAATAAGCATTTATTTTATGAAGAGGTATGCTCCTAAAAATTTTATTTTTTGTAAATTGAAATCAAGTTTGAAATAATTCTTTCATGATACATACATATGATTGTATTTCGAAAAAAGGCTTTTATAGATTGTTCTATCTTAAATGCATGTTTTTACAATCTTTTTCCTATGTTTGAATCAATTGATATTTTGTAATGCATGTAATTTTTTTTTTTTAATTTTTGTAGATGGCTTTTGGCGTGGACTTATGGATAGTCTATATTTTTGTTTATGGAGGACACTTGACACTTTTGTATAATCCTGCTAATTATGTCGTCCTATGCTTTTGTGTAGTTTAGTATTACTGATACATATAACTTTTTTAATCCAAGTGATAGTTGCTAGCGTGACACATAGATCACATTTTGTCATGGTACAGATTACGATGGTAATTTGTACCACGCCAAGTGGCCATATCGTGTGGTAGTAAATATATTTTTTAGATATAGAGGGTTGGATTTTTGTATGGAAATATAATTTTAGTTTGGACAATAGTTGGTTTGTATGGAATATATACATTTAAAGTAATTCATTTTTTGATGGTTGGAAGTAATATGGATTGTGGAATGATTGATAATTTTACATTGTGGAATGATTGATAAAATATGTATTGTTTTGTTTATACACATACTATAGGTGCACGGAATACAGACAGGTTGTGGAGAAATTAGAATTTTGCGATAAAACGTAAGAGCATTTTTTTGGCGACTAAACAATTTGTAGTAAAAAAGGAAGTACATATTTGAATGACTAAAATGTTAGTAGCTAAAACTAAATAAAAAATTTTGAAAACAATTATGGCGACTACAAAGCTTAGTGCCAACAAAAAGTAGACATTAGGTGACTAAAACTTAAAAAATAATCAGACATTTGCCGACTACAAGTTTAGTAGCAAAAAATGTGAGACCTTTGCCGACTAATATATTTAAGGTAGAACACAAAATATTTGCCTATTAAAAGCTTAGTAACCAAAAAAGTCAAACTTTTAGTGACTAAAAAATTAGTAGCCAAAAAGAAAACCAAATTTTAGGTGACTAAAACCTTAGTAGCCAAAAACAATCCGACATTTGGCGACTAAAATATTTTGTAGTCAAAAATTTTTTGATGAACAACACTTTTGCCGACTACAAGTCTAGTAGTGAAAAATGTGAGATTTTAGGCAACTAAACTTTTAGTAGCTAAAACACAATCACAGATTAGGTGACTAATATATTTAGTACCTAAAAAAATAATAGGAGGAATCGAAAAAATCTTGGCTACTAAATCTTTAGTAGCTAGATATAAGTAATATTTTTCGGGAAAAAATATTTTTAGTCGCTGAGAAAGTGATATTTCATTTTTTTTCAATACTTTTGGCAACTAAAAAATTAGTCGGCGTTTCAGTACATTTGGCAACTAAAATAATTTTAGTCACCAATTACCTTTCCCGACAATCCTTCAGCGACTACTCTTGCGACCAAAAAATTTAGTCGCTAAAAATTTTTGACGATTAAAAATTTAATAGCCAAAAGTGTAAATTCTTGTGGTGATTTATTCCATTGATTCAGACATTATAAAACAAATCTTCAGACGTTAATGGAAACTTGAGATTTGGGTCCATCTACGCCAATTGTGTAAAGTGAGAGCTTGGGGATACAAACACTGCATGGGTGAAACGTGGGATTGGGTAGACGTAGAATTGAAGATCACCCCATTGTATTTAATTTATTAAATGGATTAACTTTCCCTGGGATTTTTTTGGTAAATTTTCTTAAAATGAAATATTTAAAATAAAAATTATATATTTAAAACAATTTTTTTTTTAAAAACTTAAAAATATTTTTAAAAAATACAACACACAAATGTAGTAAATACAACACACATTAAAAAAATATATTTACAATATAAAATATTTACCCTAAAAAATAAAATTAAGAAAATTTTTAAATATTAAAAAAAAAATCCAAAACAATTTCAAAATACAAGCCTAAACTCAAAACTCTTTTTAAAATTCATAACCAAATAATTTTTATTTTTTTTTTTCAAAAACTCATTTCAAAAATTTATCTTTCGAAACACAACTCCACACTCAAAATTCAATTAAAAAACTAAACCAAACAGAGAGAGTTGTGATGTCCCGAATCTCTTTAAAACCAGTTAACAAATTTTGATTCAAAATTCCTATTCCATATTGGAATTTGTATTACTTTTGAACCTTATGAATCATGTGTTGTGACCTACTCTTCTCTTTATGATTATTCGTTCATGTCCAAAAGTGTATTCCGAAACGTTGACTTGGGGCTTTGGGTGTTGGAACGAGTCTGGGAACGATGGGAGTACTTTAAAGTCATTTTTTTTAGCCTTACTTGAAAATTGAGTCCACTTAAGCGATCCTTTGGTCGCTGGAGCAGTAAACCTATCCATCCAGTTCTTTGTTCTAAAGTTTGAAATATTGGGAGTGTGATTTCACTGCTCGAGTGAAGGTTTTACTGCTCGAGCAATCTATTTGCAGAGGAGAAAGATTCTGAGAGTTTGAATTTACCGCTTGAGTGTAGAATCTATTGCTCGAGTGGTCTGTCTAGAGTTAGGTTCGAAAAGTGTGTTCAATCACTTAGGTGCCGTTTGGTAACACTTATGTTTTCAGTTTTCTGTTTATATTTACGAAAATTTTAAAAACTCAAATAAAAACTTGTTTGGTAAATTTTTAATTTATAAATTAGTGGTCTCAGTTTATAAATTTGACCAAAAAATGTAAACTCAAAAATGTGTTTCCGTTTTGAGTTTTGAGTTTTGAGTTTTTTTTTTTTTTACCACCCAACACTAGCCACCACCCCCCCCCATTTTCCACCACCGTCTTCCGCCACCACCACCCACCACCTGCCACCACCACTCACCACCCACCTGCCACCACCACTCACCACCCATCACCACCACGACCACCCACCGCCCCACCCACCCCTCACCCACCACCACCACCACCACCACCCCACCACTTACCTGCCATCCACCCGCCACCACCCACTACCCGACCACTAACCATCCACCACCCGCCACCACCACTCACCAGCCACCTGCTACACCATCCACCATCCGCCGCCACCAGCCACTACCACCACTAGCCACCAGCCACCATGCTACCACCCGCCACCCACCACCCACCACCTACCTGCCACCACCACCCGCCACTCACTTGCCACCACCACCACCACCCACTCGCTACCACCCACCACCACCACCCACCCACCCACCCGCCATCCCGCCAACCACCTGCCAACCACCAACCCACCACTGCCCACCACCACCACCACCACCCACTCGCTCCACCCACCACTCGCACACACCACCACCATTACCATCCACTCGCTACCACCAGCCACCCGCCACCATCACCTACACACCCCACCATCACCACCCACCGCCTACCCACCACCACCACACCCACCTCGCCACACCCTCCATCCGCCACCCACCTGCCACCACCACCACCCACCACCCGCCACCGTCACCCACCTACCCGCCACCACCCACCACCACCAGGTACCCACCACCCACCGTTACCACTTTCCACCACCCGCCACCGCCACCACCACCACCCACTCGCTACCACCGGCCACCGCCACCGTCACCCACGCACTCGCCACCACCCACCACCACCCGCTACCCACCACCCACTGCCACCACTTTCCACCACCGTCTTCCGCCGCCACTTGCCACCACTTGCCATTTCTCACTCTTTTTTATATTTTTAATTTTTTTTAAAAATTTTGTCAATTACCAAATGCGTTTGTAGTTTATATTTTTTTAAAAATAAACAAAAACCAGTTTATAAAATTTTTGTAAATATGAAATGAAAACGTAAACGTTACCAAACAGACCCTTAAAATCTGAAGTAAATAACCTTCCCTTTTCACTTTTCTTTCTTCTCCCTCTCTCTCTCTCTCTCTCTCTCTCTCTACACTTCACTCTACTCTCTTTTTTCTTATCTTTCTCTAGAATACACCCACCAACCCTATTAAATTCTTGATCTCTTCAAATCCATTAGAGGTTTGACCCTAGTGCTTTCATAAAGTTTGGAGAGCACATCAAGGGCTACGACGTGCGGTAGAGATCAGATTTTGATACCGTTGATTTTAGGGTTTTTTTCTAATCTTTCTCTTCAACCTTGATGTAGGGAGTTTTTTCGAATTATATATATATATATATGATTTTGGCATGTCTTAGCCTATTTCTTTGATGAAATCAATGTGTTATGAGTGAGGGTTTGAGTTGTGTTTTGATTGTGCTTCAATAAGGATATTTTCTCATCTCTCTTATAAAATTAATTTGATTTATGAAATGTGTGACTCTTGCAAATCCATTGATGTTAATAACTTTTGTAAATGAGAAAATTTATTTTGAAAGGAAACCCCTAGATTTTTGGAATTTGGAGATTTTTTTTTTTTAAAAAAAAGAAAAGAAAAGAAAGAATACTCATGAGATCATGAGATTTTTTATTAAGAAAGATGAGGAAAAGCATATGTTTATATATTGTTGAACCATCTATAAAATGGATGGATTTTGTTTGTAAGTTTTTGAAAATGATAACTTGTATATCCAACTTGTGTAAAATTACAAAGTATTCAACAGTTTGAATAACCCTAAACTATGGTTGAACAAGGAATGATTGAAAAAGGAAATACGCATGTATACCTAATTTACGCCTAATTCCTAATATACACAATCATGCCATATATACACAAGTATGCCACATATTTATATATTCTCACACCTCCGCTCAAACTCAAGGTGTTTTAGTAGAAAACACTGAGAGTTTGCTAATAAGAAATTAAAATCGAGTAGTAGTGTGAGTCTTGGTGAAGAAGGCTGCAAGTGTAGACACCTTATTTTTGACCATTTTCAAGACTTGGACGTCATTGTTTGTGCACTCGATGATTGTGCTTGTTTGTGTTCGTTTTGAATGCCCGAAGTTCTCAGCGGAATGCCTTGTCTTTGAGCCTCTAATCCTTATATGTTTTGTGCATGTTTTTGGACCAAAAGCTTGTTGCCTCTTGCCTGGAAGAGAGGGTGACCTGCCGGCCATCCTTGGGACCTGTCGGCCTTGGATTGTTCCTGTCGGCCACTAGTGGTGGCCGACGACCATTGGTCATTTTTTCCAGATATTTGTTTGCCAGCTGTTGTTCATTGGGCTGCATCTTCATACACGTGTATGGTAGGATGTATACAAGCTCAAGCCTTGATTTTCTATATATAGGGGGTGTCCTTCCTCATTTTGAGAGGTTAGACATTTTAGACCGAAAATCTCTCTCTCTCTCTCTAGAATTCTCTCTCTCTCTGTTGTTAATTTGTGCCTTAAAGTCTAGTTTCTCTACACTTTTGCACATCAACCCTTGATCAAACTTGACCACCTTGGAGCTGAGGTTTCTTGGAGTCTTGTTGGTGCTCTAGAAGAGGGTTTAAGCTTGGATTGTTGCTCAATTTGTGCTCTAGCTTCAAGAGCAAAAAAGGAAGTTTAGGGAAGGGGTAGCCTACGGGCCACCAGCAGTGGTCGACGGCC